ATGTCTCTAAAAAGCTCAACAGTGACATTCAATCTTGGTGCTAATCAACAGCTGTCTAAGGACTTAAGGCCCAGTGGGTAGAAGGGAAAATCCTGGGATTGGTGAGGTCATGGATCTTACAGGAGAATCTCCTACTGCCTTTTACGAATCCAACACAATTCCTACCTGTATTCTAAAACCTTAGAGTAACATTCAGCCAAGTGTAGCTCTCAACCCCTAAAAGAAATCTCTCTTTGTAGCAGACAGAAAACATTAGAGAAAACCACAGAAAGTCAAAACATAAAGGATAACTGATTTTCAGATATCCAGACTCATTGGATACATTTCCAACATACCTCTTGCTACTAAGGCTTAGGGAATATCATGGAGGATGGACTAAAAAGATTGCAATTGACAGGTAATAGAAATCTGCTCTTAGGCCCTGTCTGATATCCCTGAAATCGCAGAGAAGCTATAGGCATCATACCTCAACAATGATGCTGCCTAAATAGGAGCTGAAAAATAATACTATTAGATAGGCTACCCTATCCCAGAAAATAAGATAGGAGCAAACAAGGAATGCTGAGACAGGGAGAAAAAAAATCTTCCTCAGTTATAAGTTCTCTAATTGGCCATCCAATACCAAATGATGAGTCCTGAAATTGCATGCCTACAAGCAACACAAAAAGCACTAAAAAGGTTGTATTTATATATTTATACATTTATACACATATGTTATAATAATAAATAAAAAAAAGGACCATGCCTTTGAATAGGAGCTAGGGATTGGAACATGGAAGGTGTTAAAGGCACAAAAAGAAAATAATGTAATTATATTTAAATTAAAAATAAAATAGAGGGAGAGAGTACAGGGTGAGATAACTGGAATAGGGGGACATTTGGGGGCAATGTGGAGATTCAGAACAGTGGACATGTCCTGGAACCTATGAGGGCAACACTGATGAGGACTCTCATTAAAGGAGGACATGGATCCTAAACAGGCCATCTTCTGTAGCCATTCAAGGCTCCAAGAGGTGGAACTGGGATACCAATCCAGCCACAAAACCTTCCATTCACACCCGTCCAGCCTGAAAGATGTCTTGGGGCAATAGTGGCTGGGAGCTTGTGGGCGTGGCCAGCCAATGACTGATCTAATTTGAGACCCATGCCAGGAGAGGCAACCCATTCCGACACTTCCTGGATGGCCAGGAACTGGAAGCTGCACATCTCAGAGATCCAGGGTAGAAACAAACACAACTGATAAAACCAAATCAGCAGAACAATTCCTAAAGATATTCTGCTGTAGTCAGATCTGTGCCTAGCCCATTGGTCATCAGTGAGACTTCCTCTGACAGCTGGCAGGAGCAGCTGCAGAGACTTTTACCCAAACATTAGGCAGTGTTCCTGTGGAAGGAGGGGAGGAAGAATTGTAGGAGTCAGAGGAGTGGAGGACACCAGGAGAACACAGCCCACAGAATGCACTAAGCAGGCCTTGTAGAAGCTGACAGAGACTGAGGCGGAAATCATGGAGCTTGCATGGGCCTGTGCTGTGCCCTCTCCTTGTATTGTTTGGTTCTTTAGCTTGGGGTTCTTGTGGGACCCCTATCAGTGGGAGTGGGGGTACCTTGACGCTTCTGACTGGTCTTGTAACCCTTTTTCTCACCCTGGGTGGCCTCACCCAGGCTTGAGGTGAGGATTTGTGCCTGGTCTTATTGCATCTTGTTGTGCCATGTTCGGCTGATATCTGGGAGGCCTGCTCTTTTCTGAAGGGAAACAGGAACAGTGGATTCAGGAGAGGTGTTAGGGGCCGGGGAGGGGATGGACACGAGTGGATTTAGGGGAAGCGGATGTTGAGATGCACTCTGGAGAGAAGAATAAATAAAAGGAAAACAAATGAAATAGATATATTTTTAAAATCTCGTAACAAGAAACAGAAATGGCTAGCAGACACTTAAAAACTTGTTCAGTGAGACCTGGGGTGATGGTTCAGTGGCTAAGAGCACTTGTTGCACTTGTAGAGGATCTAGGTTCCATTTCTAGATTCCACACGGTGGCGGCTCACAGCTGTCAATATTTCAAGTTCCAGGCAACCGACAACCTCTTCTGCCTCCCCAGGCACCAGACACTCAGGTAGAATACATGCATACACACAGGAAACACTCATATATAGACATAACCTGCTAAATTAAATGCCTTATTATTGATGGTGGGATTTTTAATACAAACCTAATTGCTTCCTTTCGGTGGACCAGCAGACATACATATTTTTCAAATGCCCTCTGAGAGTCCCTGGGATATTGCATTTCAGTTTTCCTTATAAAAACACTAAAATACACCCTTTAAAAAACAGATTCATTTCTTTTTCAAACTTTTTTACCATTAATTCCCATGATACCCGTGATGCCTTTTTTTCCCTCAGACATTATTTCAAATAAATCGCACCCAGGTGTGTGGCTTCTCGTCTGCTTTGATGCTCAGAGGGACACTGGATAGAAACTCAAATTTCATAGTTGCACTGCCCTTCTGCTAACAGATGTGGGCGGAAGAAGCGCCAGGTGACATCAGCTCTTCCTGAACACAGCTCAGTGAATTTTTTTGATATAAGTGTTTGAAGACGAGGCACAGGAAAAATAGCCTGAATTGAGAAGCCCGGATACTAGCATTAACACAATACTAGTAACTGTCGTGGGAGCTACTTTAAGACACATTGTTTTCAGTCTAAAAATCTGCATTCAAATTCTAGAGCAAGATAAATTTTTGTCCTTGTACACATTTTACCATCTGAATTGTATAATATAATATTCTTGGTACTCGTATTTCCAGTTCTCAGGCTGACGACCTTAATTTTCTGGCTCAGTAGGAGTTCACATCCTGCAAACTCAAGCCATTGTCATTGTATTAGGAACCCTGTTTGCAAATGTCAATGAATGTCTTCGCAGAACTGACTATTCCCACTAACACAAAATGAGCACAACAAATACAGACAAGTAATCCTGCTGGTTGTTATTGAAGACTTCCAAATACTTAATTGAATACTATAAATATAATAATAATACTATGATAAAAGATTGAGTTTTCAGACTGCACAAATCAACTTTATTTGATTAAAATTTTCAATTTTAGATACTCTTCCATGAAATATATTTGCAAGTATATATTTGAGAGTATGGACAGTAAAGCATAGTTTTGAATTCTTCTTAATCTGAGAAACTGCCAGAATTTGATGTGGAAAGAAGTAGTTGAAAGATCATTGAAAGGACAGTGGTAAGAAGTATGAAAACAACAGCAACAGGACACATTGATTTTGACACTGTAATACTACAGAGATTTAACAATTGAATGCAAAAAGGCCAGATCCACAGGCAGATGTGTAGCAATACGGCTGAATTGTAGTTGAAGGCAGGTACACTGGATAGCTGAATCTGGACCCATAACCCAGGGAAGGGTAGCAATAAACCCCATAAGGAAGAGGTCTGAAGCCTTTGGATCCACAACCCCCTGAGTAGTAGCTTCTTGATCCATAGCTCAGGGAACCACAGCTGGTGGATCCAAAGCCTAGAGGCCCAGCATATGTCCCCTGGCATGACTTCATATGTTTTGATTTACTCTATTACACCTGTCTCATTAGCACACTGATTTTGTTTGCTTTCATTGACATTAATTATGGATATATACTTTATACATCTTTGGTATATGCCTGTTTATCTCAAAATTTACAAGGAAGGATCCTCTATCATTTCACCCTTTAACAGTTATGAAAATTCAGAAAATTGTGAGCATCAACCAATAAAAGATAGAAGGTAAGGAAAAAATTGTCCTTCCCTGTGTCAGACATAGGGCTGGACAATTTCAAGAATGATTATAAATGAACCAAATGTTCCTAGAATATATCATTCTCATAGTTCATTAAAAATTAATACTTTGAGTGATTTTTTTCCTTTGTGCCCCCTCGAATGCCCATGATACATGTGATTACTTTCAATCTTCTTTAAGATACTGTGTCACACTGAGCGGTGATGACAAACTCTATTACTAGCACTAAGGAGAGAGAGGTAGGCAGATCTGTGTGAGTTACTGACAAGCCTGGTATACAAGAGTTAGTTCCAGGACAGCCTCTAAAGCCATAGAAACCCTGTCTCAGAAAACCAATAAATAAATAAATAAAAGAAATTATGTCGCATAAATTTATTCAACTCTGTTTGAGACACAGAGGAAGACTAGTAAATTAAACCTCTTCAAATCCTTTGGTTGATTGGAGTTGAGCCTGGGATGTATCAGGAGACTCCTAGTCTCTCATGATCCAAGATGATTGTCATTGTCTTTATGGGGGTTAATGAGATGCAGACGTCATTAGCCAACCACAGCAGACATGTATGCCAATACATTAATGTCTGTCTTCCTGAGAGTTGTTGAAAGCTACATTCTACTGATAGAAAATCTACATTCAAGTACTAGACTTAATATTTTGCCTATGTATAGACTTCACCTTGTAAATTATGAAATATCTTATTCTGGGTGTTCACATTTCTAGACCCATCCTAATTGCTCTGTTTCCCTATTCATCAGAAATCCTGTACTTTAATCTCAGGTAATTAACACTCTAGTTGAACTCTGTTGTTTGGACATGAATGATGATCTTCCTAGAATTGACAACCATTGAGTGAAGAAAAGTAAACTAATACAAAAGCATATGTACCCAAATTAAGCTGGACAATCATCCTGATCTTTTTAAGTCTTCCAAACAGCAAGGGCAATAAGTATGAGTGATGTGATAATAAACTTAACAACACATGAAGATATCAGATTTGCACAGATTTATTAAACAGATAGAAGGCAAATAGCGTCTGTATATGTCAAAGAGAGAGTAGGGCATAGTTGGGTGTGAATTCTAATCTCATCATCTGCTGGAAGTTGAAGAAGACAGAAGGTGTTAATGGAAGGATGATATGATATCAGTAGGGGTTAAGCAGGAAAAACAATAGTTTTAGAGCATAGACTTTGACATATGAGAATACTAAGGCTTAACAACTGATTCCATAAAGACCTGATCCACAGATTGGTCTGTAACAAGGTTGGCAGGAATGAGACACCAAGTAGCTTGGGTAATAATATCTGTACCCATAACCCAGGGAAGGGAAGCCAGAGACTCCACAATTCAGAGATCTGAAGGCACTGGGTCCACAGCCCACTGAGTAACAGCTTCTAGATCCATAGTCCAGGGAACGACAGCTTCTAGATCCAAAGCCCAGAGACCCAGCATATGTCCCCTGGCAGGGACTGCAAGGTGTGAAGTTCCTGGGGTAGTAGCAGGCTGTCTGGCAGGGGCTGGACACCACATAGGACTTCTGGCATCTAATGGGCTCAATGCAGGTCTCCTGACAGCCACTGATGAGAGAGGATCGCAGCTGGCAGGTGCTGGGAGAGCAGATGGTGGTGGTGTAGACCAGGTTGCTGGGGTAGGAAGAGCCACAGGAGGAACCCGAGGAGGGCAGGCAGGTCCTAAGGGAGTGGGAGGAGAAGTTGGCAGAGTTGCAGCTGCAGGTCATGTTGAGAGAAGATGTGAGCTCAGCTGGATGTAACTGAGTTTGAATGTCACCCTGTGGACAGCTGGGTTTATATAGTCTCAGCAATAGGTGTGGCACCCAACAGTCTCATCCTTGATGTATTTGTGTGCTTCCTGGCTTACAAATGTGCAGTTGCATGCAAATAGTTTTCTGAACAATGTTTTTATGGGTGTAGCAAATTTTCTTATGGTTACGACAAAGAGCTATTGCTATGTCATAGATGCAATGACTGTTTTACACGGATGCTTATTCAGTGTATCCAGGAAAATCTCTCCTTTTCCTCTTGGCCTAATTATTATGTGATTGTGGCAATGTTCTGAAGAACACTCATTTCTTCTATAATTAAGAATGAGAGGGATTCACTCTTCCTTCCGTTGATTAACTGGAGACATCAGTTGGGTTCCCTTTGAAACCTATTGAAGATCGCCGTACCTTTGGTCATCGGTTCTCTTCTTTGTGGATGGGTAGCATTTCCCATGCACTTCTCCTCCACTGGTGAGGACAGAGTATGAGCAAAGTAAATGGAATAAGATAGACCCTAAAGGAGAGAGAGAAAAGCAGTGACTGAAGCTGTGGTTAGAGCAAAGACAGCACAAAGGCAAAGCCACATTTGCAGGGCATTTTGACCTTCATGAATAGAATCAAAGGTATGAGAGAAGTAAACCATTTCATACCTTGTGTACCTGACAGGTGTCCTGAGATGATAGAGTGATCTCATCTGAGTTTGGGTCACCATGGAATAGTCAATTTGAACAATTTCAAACACAGGAAACCCAGCTGACTATTGTCCTACACACTGTGGAGTCTGTAGAAACCTTGGTTTGCAAGAATGGCACCCAGGTGGTGACTGAGTCTAGGAAAAGTAATGAATTTCTAGGGGACAACTTAATATTAGCAGATGAAAGAATACGTTGACGGATCAATGTGATGCGTATGTTTTTTGTTTGTTTTAAATCATGTCCTTTCTTGGCAATACAAAATTTTGTATACCTATACCTAAAATTGAAACTAAAGTACTGAGATTTATTCTAATTATAAATTAAAGGCAATGAAAGATAGACTTATAAATAATGATAGAAAAGACAGTGGTGAAAGTAGTTATTGACAAGCTACAGAAAAACTTAGTTCTCAACATTACATACATTTTTCCCTCATTTACTCTTTTGCATGTTAATTCTTGGAATGGTGCCACTTGCCTGGAAATAATGTCACGTAATATATTTAGTAATATTATCAAGACATGTATCCTTTATCATCACTTCAAAAACACTTGTAAAGCTTTGGATAGCTTTATTAGAATCCTGTGAACCAGATTGTGAAATCAGTTGTTGGAATTATGTTTTTTGAGAAAATTACTATGTTGAAGATGAAGTTGATTACCTTATCCTAGGTGATATTCTTTTCCACTAATAGACACATATGTCATTTGCTATGGGGGAAGGTTGTTTCATTGCATCTTTAGGTAAAGGTGTAAAAAATGTTATCGGTATGGATGAGAACTATTTAAATCAGCTGGGTTGCTATGCATAAAGTTGATACATCAACACATTCTCTCATCTGCTAAGATAAATTGATGATTTTAAAAACATTATCATTTCATTTTTACTCTTGGTAAGTGCACTCTGTTATATAAGAAGAGGGCCAAAATTGGTCTAAGTAGACATTATTCACAGACAAGATGAAAGCTCCAAAATGAAAATCTTGCTCTTTGTTTTACCAATCAATTAATTTATCATTTAAAATTTTTCATGTAATATATTTTAATCACTCTCTTTCTTGTCTTCCAACTGCTAGTAGATATTCCCTATTCATTCAACTTTATTTTTCTCTCTCTATCTCTCTCTGAAAGTGTAAATGTGAACAAAAATGTAAAGTAAGTACGAAACTGAAAAAAATTAATTATCAACACCACTAAGCATGGCCATGGAAAAGCATCAATTTGAATTCTACGGTGTTACAAAACAGATTTTGTTTTTGAACAGTAAAAGAATAATTTGATGTATTCAGCATTTGCACATTGTTTTTCATCTCCAGACTCTTTCCTTTGAGAGGATTCAGGACAAAGTAAAAATGTCAGAGACCTAACTAGTAAAGTGACTGTGACTCAGCCTCACTTCTGTCACCTGTGATCACAAAAACTCCAGTCTTTGTCCTCCTCTCCTGTATTCCTTGGTTCCATCCCATTAGATCTCCCATGACTCACATTGTTTCCTTGATCCTAGAACTAAGTGACAGAGGAAAAGCTCCTCATCCAGAGGGTTTCATCAGAAAGGTAAAAATGATTCCAATTCATTAACAAGAAGAGAAGCAAATTACTGTCATACCACACACTCTGAAGGAAGGCATTTTCCTCGTACCATCCTATGACAAAACACATAAAAGTTACATCAAGGGGAAAAGGAGGGATTTCTTTGCAGGACATGATAAAATGGTCATTAGTGTACAACAGTGATGGCATGTCTGGCTTATCAGTAGCTCATCATCTTTTATTTAAATAAATGACAACACCCATAAACATGATGGGGAGAAAACTATGAAAATGAACTGCAATTACAGAGATTACTGAGTTCCACATTTGTAAACCAGGAAACACACGAATGCATCAAGGATGAGAATGTTGGGTGCCACAGCTGTTGCTGAGACTATATAAACCCAGCTCTCCACAGGGTGACATCCAAACTCAGAATCTCCCTGTTGCATCCAGCTGAGCTCGCATCTCCTCTCAACATGACCTGCAGCTGCTCCTCTGCCAACTTCTCCTCCTGCTCCCTGCCTGTTGCAGTTTCCTCTTGTGGCTCTTCCTACCCCAGCAACCTGGTCTACACCACTACCAGCTGCTCTCCCAGCACTTGCCAGCTGGGATCCTCTCTCAGCAGTGGCTGTCTGGAGACCTGCATTGAGCCCATTAAATGCCAGAGATCCTGGGTGGTGTCCAGCCCCTGCCAGACAGCCTGCTACTACCCCAGGAGCTTCACACCTTGCAGTCCCTGCCAGGGGACATATGCTGGGTCTCTGGGCTTTGGATCCACCAGCTGTGATCCCCTGGGTTATGGATCAAGAAGTTGCTACTCAGTTGGCTATGGACCCAGTGGCTTCAGATCTCTGAATTGTGGAGTCTCTGGCTTCCCTTCTCTGGGTTATGGGTACAGATATTATTACCCAAACTACTTGGTGTTTCATGCCTGCTAACCTTGTTAAAGACCAACCTGTGGATCAGGTCTTTATCGAATCAGCTGTTCAGTCTTTATATTCTCATATGTCAAAGTCTAGGTTCTAAAGCTATTGTTTTTCCTGCATACTCTCTATTGATATCTTATCATCCTTCCTTTAACAGCTTCTTATTCAACCTCAGTAGATGATAAGAATAGAGGTCATGCACAACTGTGCTCTACTCCCTGTACTGTTGACATATACAGATGCTATTTACTTTCTATCCATTTAATAAATCTGTGCAATTTGATATCCTCATGTGTTGTTCACTTTATTATTATATGACTCATACTTATTGCTCTTATGGTTTGGAAGACTTAAAAAGATCAGTATGGTTATCCAGCTGAATTTGCGTATATACATTTTTGGAATTGTTTGCTTTTCTTTGCTCAACAATTGTCAATTCTAGGAAGATCATCATTCATGTCTAGTTGACAACAGAAGTCAACTAGAGTGTGAATTGGCTGTGATTAAAATACAGGAATTTCTGGTGAGTAGGGAAACAATGAAAGTAGTATGTGAACTAGAAATGTGAACACCAGGAATAAGATATTTTTCAATTTTACAAGGTGAAGTCTGTACATAGGCAAAATATTAAGTCTAGTATTTGAATGTAGATTTTTCTATTAGGAAAAAGTAGCTTTGAACAGCTCTCAGGGCAGACAGATATTAACGTATTGGTGTATATGCCTCATGTTTTTGACTAATTACACCTGCATCTCATTCACCCCCCTAAGGACAATGGCAATCATCTTGGTTTATGAGGTACTAGGATCCTCCTGACACATCCCAAGCTCAACTCCAATCAACTGAAGGATACGTCAGTTTTCTATGAAGAGATTTAATTTACTTGAAGATATTTAATTTACTATTCTTCCTCTGTGTCTCAAAGAGAGTTGGGTACAATTTATGTGACATAGTATTTGTTTTATTTTTGGAGACAAGGTTTCTCTGAGGCATTGGAGGCATCTTGGAATGAGCTCTTGTAGACCAGGCTGGTCTCAAACTCACAAATATCCACCTGACTCTGCCTCCCTATTGCTGGGATTAAAAGCATGTGCCACCACTGCCTGGTGTCACAATATATTTTAAAGATGATTGAAGATTACATGTATCATGGACATTCAAGGGGGTAATAATGAAAAAACACTCAAAATATTCATTTTTAATGAACTACCAGGATGCTGTATTCCAGAAACATTTGGTTTATTTGTACAGATCCTTGAAATTGTCCACTCCCATTTTTGACACAGGGAAGGACAATTTTTTCCTTACCCTCTGTCTTTTATTGGTGGATGTTCATTAATTTCTGGACTTTCTTAACTGTTAAAGCAGGAAATGACAGAGGATCCTTCCTTGTAAATTTTGAGATAAACAGTTATACCCAAAGGGGTATTGAATATATATCCATATTAAATGTAAATAAAAACAAACAAAATCAGTGTACTAATACAACAGGTGTAATATGAAGTCATTTCCAGAATAGCAGACTATTGGATCTAGGGATTGCATGTGTATTTTTGCAAGCTCAAGAAGTTTTACCAGTGTATGATGCAAAATCATTGACAAACTTCAAATTCATTTTGTACTTCATAGCTGTCCTGTCTGAAATACATTTTTTTCTCACACATCTAGTGATTCCATGACAATTTTTTGCCTGGTATTACCTTGAGATATGTAGCATGCTTTCACAGATGATCACACACAGGCCATGGCATGCAGTGTTATGGGGGATTTCCACATGCTCTATAAAAAGTCTAAAAATAGAATGTCACAACAGAGACTAGTGAAGACAACGGTTTGGTAGCTAGGGAAAATTTTGATTGCCAACAATATACATATATATCCTATCATGATTCTAAATGAATTTCATCACAGGATTCTCACTTTATTTTATTTACCGTGAGATCATCAGTACTTGTGGCTTTTACATCACTGTAACAACAGTAGTAAAACTTTGAAGAGCTTTATTAGGGTTCCTTGGACTGGATTGTGAAATCAAATTGCTGGAATTAAATACGCATTTGAAAAAAGTGGCAATCCTGATGTGAAACTGACTGTATTGTAATCATCAATGATATTTTTCTTTTGCTAAGGACATAGAAACATACAGTCATTGAGCCTCAATGTTTGGTATTTTGTGGTTGTTTGTCTTTGTGTATTTATCTAAATATATAACTAAAAGATATATTGATGTGTATGAAAATTATTGGAAACAAATGAAATGTGTGTAAAAGTCCCATGTCCACATATCTTTGCATCTTTTACAGCAATTCTTCTATTTTTATTCTTTTAAGGAATGCATGGGAAATATGTATACTATGTTCTATTCCCTCAAACTAAGTTGTCTTATCAGGTTGGAAGATCATAAGTTTTCATAAAGCTATCTCATACACCTTTCATTTTTTTCTGTGGCTTTTGGAGACTGTCATGGAACTAGCTCTTATAGACCAGGCTGGTCTCGAAATCACAGAGACCTGCCTGCCTTTGCCTCCTGAGTGCTGGGAGTAAAAGCGTGTGCCACGATTGCCTGGATTATTTTTGTTAAGCCTTATGAAGTCATAGTTAGTCGTCTTCCCCAACCCTCTATTCTTGAACTCTGCCACCTTAGATAATCCCCTGCTCTACTTGTATTATCCACGCCAACTTAAGGTACACACCCCTCTAGTATCTTGGTGTCCACGTCTTCTCTAAGAAGTTCCTATGATTGTAAGTGAAAATATTCTTAACAAAATACTGGAAAATTAAATTCACTATTTTGTTAAAAGCACCATGACCCAATTAGATTTATTCCAAAAATGTGGAGCTGGTTTAACAAACTTAAATCACTAGACACTGTCACACAAGTAGACACAAATGCAGAAATATTATGTGCATGCCAATAGATGCAGAAATAGCCTATGGGATAGCTCAGTTATCCTTTATGATAAACATTATGAGGAAGCTAGAGATGGGGGAGTTTATTTCAACAAAATACAGCTCATGTATGACAAGCCTATAGCCAGCCAGTTTAATGAAGAGAGATGGAAATTGTTCATTAAATTCAGGAAAAGAGAAAGGTGTGTATTCCTTCACTCCCATTCAATATAGTTCAAACTTTCAAAGTGATAAGAAAATAAAAATAAAGAAAAGGGAGCAAATAACAAGACAAGGAGTCAATCTATCCCTATATTCAGATAATATGATTCTCTACATAAGAGACACCCAAGAGAAGTAATTTCAGAAAAGTAGCTAAGTAAAATTTACCCTAATAAATTATCATTAGCTTTACTATATACCTATCATAGAACACCTTAAACACATATCAAGTAACCAATCTTCATAGCCACAAAAATATACTTAAAAATCAACATGAACAAGGAAGGACTCCTACAATAAAAACTTTAACATGGTAAACATATCGGTTAAAGAAGGAAGACTATTGAAGATGAGAAGAATTTCCATGTTCTTGGATTGGAAAACCTCAACCATCATGTGAAAATGTCCTTCCTACCAAAAGTTATCTATGCATTCAATGAGATCATAATCCAAATTCTAGGGCCATTCCTTACAGACACAGTCAAATCAACATAAATTTCATGTAGAGATGTAACTAAGAAAAAAACAAAGTAATTTGAACAAAAAAGATGTACCAACACAACCAATTTAAAATTATACCATCAAGACATAATAAAAACAGCATGACATTGGAATTAAACGGTCCAAAGATCAATGAAAAATAAAAAAAGAATAGAAGATGCAGTTTTTAATGCAAACAAATTCAACAAAACAATGCACTGGAGCAAGTGGTGTTTGAGATCCTGGAGGTCGACTAGCAGAAAAATTGAAACGGAACCCTATAGCTCGCCCTGCACAAAAGTCAACTTCCTATGGATCAGGTACCACAACATATGGCCTGATTCTATGAAAGTGCTAGATAAAGTAGCGAGTAGATTTTAACTTATATGCACAGGTTAGGAGTTTCAGAATAAACTCTCACTAAACTGGCAATTAGTTCACCACTCAGCAAATGGAACCTCATGACTATCAAAAGCTCTATACAGTAAAAAATATCGTCAGTTGAGGGAAGAGGCAACACACTACGTGTGGTAAAATACTTGCCAGCTGCTGTCCATCTGACAAAAGATTAATGTCTAGAATACATGAAGAACTTTAAAAACTAAACACCAAGGAAACAACAAACTGATTTAAAATGGACTTTGGAAAACAAGAACTCTCAAAACAAGAAATATTCATGGTTACTTAAAACATAAAGGAAAACAACAAAAACTGTTGGATAGACTTAACAATCAGGGAAATACAGCTTAAAATCACTTTAAGATTCTACCTCACCCCATTCATATTTGGTTGGATCAAGAATACAAATGACTATGTGCCCATGTGGCTGTATTGAAGGGAAACCATTATACACTGATGGTGGTAGTGTCAGCTAGTGCAACCACTATGGGAATTGTTCTGGGGATTTCTCAAAAACTTGAAATAGAAGTACCACAAAGCCTAGCTATAATCATTGCTGAGCATATATTCTGGAGACAATGTCCTACAACAGAGACACTCGCCCATCTATATTCCATGTGTCTCTATTCACAGCTGGTAGGAAATGGAATAAATCAAGATGTCTATCAAATGATGTAAAAATGTGGTACTTATACCCAGTGGGAGATAGATTACTCAGTTGTACCACGAAATGTGTAGGTAAGAGGAAGGGACTGGGAACAAACCACATTGGGTGAGACTGCTCTGCCCCAAAAGAGTAATTCCCATGTGCTTTCACTCTGATGACTTCAGCTTTGTAAATACTGTTGTCTATATTTATCCTAGAGAAGATGTGGATGCCAAGATACTAGAGGGTGGTCACTGGAGTGATTCTTTAAGTTGGTGTGGATAATACAAGTAGAGCAGGGAATTACCAAAGGTGGCAGAGTTCAAGAATAGAGGGTTGTGGAGGACAACTAACTATGACTTCATAAGGCTTAACC